GGATCATAAGATAACTCTATTTCTAGTATTTTGAGGAATCACCATACTGTTTTTCCATAGGTGGTGTCCTATTTTACTTTCCCACCAGCAGTGGATAAGGGTTTCAGTCTCCCCCACGTCCTCACCAACATTTGTTGTTTCTCATTTTTTTTTTTTTTTTTTTTTCTTAAATCATTGTCATCTTAGCTGGGGTTGGATGGTATCTAACTGCAGTTTTGATTTGCATCTCTCTAATGGCTGATGACAGCATCTTTTCATGTGTTTGTTGGCTGCTTGAATATCCTTTTTGGTGGAGTGTCTGTTCCTGTCCTTTGCCCATCTTTTGGAAATTAGACCCTTAGGATGTCACTCCTGAAGACTCTTCCCCAATCTTTAGGTTGTCTATTTACTCTTTTGATAAATTCCTTTGATGAGCATAGGTTCTTCTCAGCCTTTTAAAGTTCTGCCCTTGTCTCCTGCTGCCCAGATCTGAAGACCATGACTGAACGGCTGCGCAGCCGCTACTACGTGACCCGGAAGCTCTTTGTGGCAGACCTGCAGCGGGTCATCGCCAACTGCCGCGAGTACAACCCTCCGGACAGCGAGTACTGCCGCTGCGCCAGTGCTCTGGAGAAGTTCTTCTACTTCAAGCTCAAGGAGGGGGGACTCATTGACAAGTAGCTTTGGACCTGGGAATTTCCCACTTCAGATTCTGATCTGACTCCTAGGGATCCTTGGGCCTCCTGACTTAGCTTGAGACACTCCAGTCAGGGAGGTGGGGTACACAGCCCGATCCCACAGCCCTTTCTGGACATGCAGATGCCTCCAATCCAGCAGCTCTGACGCCCCCTTCATGTGTCTGACCTTGGGAAGAATCTCCTGGGTCTAAGGCCCAGCCCCTGTTGTGTGACTCCCAGACAAAGGATGTACCCTGCCCAGTCCTTGTGGCCTCCAACCCTGATCCTCCCCAGAACTGTGGTGTCTTGGAGTCCTGGGCCTGGCCCAAGTTGTCTGTTTTCTTAAGGGCGAGGACTGCTGACTTTAGCTTGAGTTGAGTGGGCTTCGTGGGTTGGAAGTTCAACCCAGACTGGAGGGGCCATGCCTCGCCCTGCACTGTTCTGTCATTCTGTCCCCCAGGGGTGGGGGACATGTGGACCATTCATTCCCTGGCATTAATCCCTTGGAGGGAACAATAAAACTTTTTTTTTTTTTTTTTTTCTTAAATGTGTGTGGGGCTTTTTTGTAAATTAGTGTTACCAATATATATTGGGAGCTCTGGTACTGTAATGCCTAAGGCTCTTGATTACTAACCAGAAGGCTGGCGGTTCAAACCCACCAGCATTCCTCGGAAAGAAGGTTGGGCAGTCTACTTCCGTAGCGATACCACCTCGGAAACCCAAAGAGGGGTTGCTATGAGTCAGGTCTGACTTGATGGCACATAGCAACAACAACATGTATATCAGAGATGTATTTGACTATAATTAATATAACTGTAGTTTCAAAGACTTAAGCTAGTAGGGTTTTTTCTCTCACAGAAGAAGTCAGGAGGTAGCATTGGATCATGCTGGCTCAGGTGCTCAGCATTGTGAGGAGCCAGGCTCATTCTGTCCTGCTCTGCTGTCCTTGACCTACAAGACTTTTTTTCTTTTAACATTTTTCACAATGTATCAACATTTATTTATTTTTGCTGTACTATATTCACAGACATATTTGCAGCTTATGTAAATCCACCTAGAAATACCCTTTGTCACACCTATACATGTTTGTGGCTGGGGTCCCATTCTTGCCATACCTGTGTAGCTTGCGTTACTATGTACCCACTCTACATTATCGATTATCGTTATTACCGTTACTGCAGGATTGTGTATGAATTTGTATTTACCCCTGTTGCCTTTACTCTTAAACTCTTCCCAGCTTCTTCCTTTCCTTGATGATTTTATGCTGCCTTCCTTCGTACTGTATATTCCCCTTCACCCAAGTTAATAGTTCTTTTTTGATGTGTGCATTTATTGCTATACATTGCCCTCAGGGCGCCACTTTTGCTGTGTTGCAAAGATTTTGATAGGTACTTTCATTCTTGTTTGATTCAAGGAATTTTCCATTGCATTTTTTATTTTGTATATTAAGCAGTAGTTTTTAAAGCAGGGTGTTACTCAGTTTCCAAGTATCTGATTTTTTTTCCCTTGCTCTTCCTGTTGTTTATTTCTCATAGCATTGTGATCTGAGAAGATGCTTTCCAGCAGTTTGATGTTTTTCAATTGTTTGGGCTTGCTTTGTGGTCTAACATATGGTTTATTCTGAAGAACATTCCATGTGCACTGTAAAAGAATGAATTGTGCTGTTGTTGGGTGAAGTGTTGCATATGTGTCTACAAAGTCAAGTTGGTTGATTGTGTTAAGTTCTTCTGTCTTTGTTGAGTTTCTTTCTAGTTGTCCATCCTTAATTGAGGTGGTAAATTAAAGTTTCCTACTATTTTTGTGGAGTTGTTTCTTTCTTTTTTCAATTCTGTTAGTTTTATTTCTTGATTTTGGGGCTTTTTCACTGGGTACATAGATATTATGGTTATGTCCTCTTATACAATTGACCCTTTAATTATTATATAATGTCCTTGTCTCTTATGCTGGTTTTTTGCCATAAAGTCTATTTTATGATAAATTAATATTGCCACTTCTGCTCTTTTTTGATTGCCATTTGCTTGATAATATTTTTTCCCACCTTTGATTTTTAGTCTGTTTTTGTGTCTAGGGTGTGTCTCTTGTAGACAGCATATTGATGGGTCATGTTTTCTTATCTATTACTCTCTGTTTCTTAATTGGTGCATCTAATCTGCTTACATTCAGTGTAATTATCAACAAATAGGACTTCATTGCCGTCATTTTGTTGTGTGTGTGGTGCTGCTGATTCCTTGTTCCATGTAATTTTCTGTGCTGAGCTAATCTTATTTATATGTTTTTATTTTACTTTCCTTCATTGCTGTGGTTTTAGGGTTTGCTACATATTTTTGAGTTTCTTTTTTTTTTTTTGATGGTAAGGTTTATTCATTTCCTTTGAGGTTACCCTATAATTTCTTCTTTTTTTTCCCAAGGCTAAAACAGTCTACTCTATCTTGAACTTGCCTTGACTTCCTCTTCATGTGGAAGTTCTGTAACTACCCTGTTTATTCCATCTTTTTGCTTTGTAGTTGTCCTTGTTCACAGATCAATGTCTTGGGCTCCCTATTTTCGGTCTTGCAGGTTTATTTTATTTTTTAAACTTCTTTATCTGGGTTGGGTTCTGGCTGATGTCATTTGTGCAGAGTGGGCACAGTTGCTCACCCACTGAGTGGGACAAAAAAGAAAAAAGGGTGAGAGGAGAAAAATACAACACAACGAAAAAGAAAATAACAAGATAAAACAGGAAAAACAACGACGACTAAAAAAAATTAAGGACAAAAAAAAAAACTGGGGCAGGGGACAAAGGAAAAAAGAAAGAATAGTAAAGATAAAACAGGACAAATACAAAAAGAAAAGCAAGGGACAGTGAAGAAAAGATAAAAAGCGAAAGAAGGAAAGAAAAGGGGGATAGGGAAGGAACAAAAAAGTGAAAAGTGTTGGGGCAGGGCATCTGGGCAGTATTCTTGCTGATTGAGCAGGCATTGGGGGGCAGGGCACCTGGTTGGTTCTAGAAGGAATTCCTTCCGGTCCAGAGGGCGGCTTGGGGCAGGTCACCTGGACCCGGAAGGAGTTCCTACCAGCCAAGAGGCAATTAAGGCAGGATACCTGGTCCCAGAAGGAGTTCCCACTGGCCGAAAGGTGGCTGGGGCCAGAACACGTGGTCCTGGAACAAGTTCCTGCCAACCCAGAAAATGGCTGGGAGTTGGGCATCAGGTCTGGCTGGATGAAATGGAGTGGGAGATGTGGTCACCAGAAGGGTATGGGAAATAAGGTGAATATCACACCCTTCTGGTCACTAGCTACCCGCCCATGCAGTTCTCAGGCAGCAGAGCCAATGGTCAGGTTGCTGCCCTGATCGGAACACTGCTTGCACCTTCAGTCCAGTTGACAGTTAACAGCTCTGTTTGTCTCCTTGTCTGCCATTTTCATTCAGTTTCTTCTTTTGCTATTTGATCGACTTCTTCATCTTTCCTTTCAAACCTCAGGGGTCTAGGATTATCATCTGTATCTATCATTTGGCTTCTTCTCTCTTTGTTGTGGAGGGTCCGGGTGGCTTGTCTGCCTATTTCACCATCTTGTGGTATTTTTTGGGATAGTCCCTGGCTTTAGCAGGCTGACCTTGGCCGCTCCAGTACCTCTCACAGACTGGAGCCTACTCAACTTCAGGTTGTACTGGGGTGGCAAGACTCATGCTGAGTCCTGGGCTCCTGGGTGGTGAAATGTGCCTGGCTACAGCCCACCACTTCTCCCTGCTCCAGGCTGCTTCTGACCCCAGTGCCAGGAGCAATGGGACAGAACTTCAGCCAGGCTGCCTGAACCTGGAGTGGCTCTAAAATGGGGTGGGAAGTGGGGTGGGGGGAGGTTGGGGGTGGAGGAGGTAGCAGGACCCAGGAGGAATGAATGAGTGCTACACTGCCAGCAATAGTTCTGTCCCCAACCCTCACCCTAGCACGCTGCACACAGTTTCTCCTAGGGGGTAGGGACCGGAGATTTCTAAGGGGAATTTCTAAGGCCAGCCTCCTGCTCCTGCTGGCTCCTCCCCTCAGTTTCAGTTTCCAGTTCCGATCTCTGAGCGGAGCCCAGCTTCATCCAGGCTAAGCTGAGCAGAGCTGCCCCTTGGCCACCTCAGTGGTACAGGTGAGACCCGGACCAGGCAGGGCCAGGTGTAGTCTGTTACCCTCTTGGCCAGAGCAAGGCCCCCGAGCAGTGCCAGGAGTGCTCAGGTCTGCCCCTTTAAACCAAATAGCTCCCGGGCAAAGCTCTTTTCCCTAGACTGGGCTGGCCACAGGTTTGGGGCGGGTGTGGGGTGGGACACAGCATTGAGGGGTCCGGGAGGACAAGTGGAGCTGAGTCTCTGCCGTACCTAGAATGGAGCTGCGACCCTACCAGTGGGAGGTGATCATGCCCGCCCTGGAAAACAAGAATATCATCATATGGCTGCCCACGGGCACTGGGAAGACGCGGGCGGCTGCGTTTGTGGCCAAGAGACATCTAGAGACTGTGGACCAAGCCAAGGTGGTTGTATTGGTCAACAGGGTAAGTGACCTGCCCTCCCCTCTGTGGCGCCTCAGCTCCTTGGGAGCCTCTCAGGCCCTCCAGAACACCAGAGCTGCCGCAGCCATCTCTCAGCTCACCTGTCACGGCACTTCAGTCCCTAAATAGGTCCTGGAGCCACCTTGCCTCCTCCCCAAACCTCTGGCCCCTGATGCTGCTTCTATTCCTCATCTCATTCCCCACCCTCAGGTGCACCTGGTGACCCAGCATCGTGAGGAGTTTAGCCACATGCTGGATGGACGCTGGACCCTGGCTACCCTGAGCGGGGACATGGGGCCACGGGCTGGCTTTGGTCACCTGGCCCGGAGCCACGACCTGCTCATCTGCACGGCAGAGTTGCTGCAGCTGGCACTGACCAGCCCTGAGGAGGAGGAGCACGTGGATCTCAGTGGTGAGGCTGTGGGACAGGGGGCAGAGGGGGAGCACCTGGGGCAGCCCTTCCTGCTGACCCCCAGAGCACTTCTTCCTTGCTTTTGTGAGAAGAAGAGTTCCCTATTCACCAACCCCTAACATCCACTCTAATGGAAATAGACCCAGCTCCTGTGCAGGATCCTGGGTAAGAGACTTCCCCCAGCTGAGCCTGTTTAAAAACCAAACCACACTCACTGCCACTGAGTCGCTGCTGACTCATAGCGACCCCTCCTTGGGTTTCCAAGGCAGCATCTCTATGGAAGTAGATTGCCCAATCTTCCTTCCAAGGAGTGGCTGGTGGTTTGAACCGCCAGCCTTCTGGTTAACACAGTCAAATGCCTTAGGCACTACGCCACCAGAGTTCCTATACATAGACACATGTATGTACATAGCAGTCAAATGCCTTAGGCACTAGCTACCAGAGTTCCTGAGCCTCAGTTTACTAATCTGTAAATCATCCCCACCTGGTTTGTTCCCTGTGGCTTGGCAGTGAGTCGGGAAGGGAGGAGGGCATTCTCAGACAGGTGGTGGGGACGACATAAGCAAAGCTAATGGGTGGAGGGGCTTTGTAGACATAGTTCACGCTTTCCCCCATGTGCCCTCCTCAGACTTCTCCCTGCTTGTGGTGGACGAGTGCCACCACACACACAAAGATACCGTCTACAACATCATCCTGAGCCAGTACCTGGAGCTTAAACTGCAGGGGGTGCAGCGTCTGCCCCAAGTGCTGGGTCTCACAGCCTCTCCAGGCACTGGCAGGGCCTCCACGCTCGATGGGGCCATCAACCACATCCTGCAGGTCAGCTGGCTCCTGTGACCCTCCCATTACTAGGCCTACCAGGAACCTCCCCAGCTGCCCTACCTGGCTCCCTCTGATAAGGTCAGCCCTTCCTCTCCTAAGGCCCAGCCTCCAATGGCTTCTTATTGCGCCTAGATTCAACTCCCAGCTTTTTATCCCAGCTTACAAAGTCCCAGATGATCTAGCCCCTATCTACCTCTCCAACCTCATTTTCTATATCCTCCTCCTTTTGCCCGAAATGCCGTTTCCCTTGAACTTTAGGAATAAGTGACACATCAGGGAGTCACTTAAATGTCAAAGGTGAGCTCTGATCACCCTCACTGCACCCTATCATATCATGCAATTTTATTCCATCAGAGCTCTTAACACTACCCACAATGCTCTCATTCTGTTCTTTACTGGTTTATCATCTGTCTCCCCAACTCCATTCTAAGTTCCTCTGTGGTCCCAGTGCCTAGAATAGTGCCTGGCACTATTCTAGGTAGTAGATATTTGTTGAATGAATGAATCCTCACCCACAATGGCCCTGCCTCCAGGCTCCCCTTTCCTCAGTTGGGGATCATCCTGCCCCACAGCTCTCTGCATGTTGTTTTCACACCCATTCCAATGAACCCCTTTCTGTTGCCCTCAGCTCTGTGCTAACCTGGACACATGGTGCATCTCGTCACCCCAGGAACACTACCCCCAGCTGCAGGAGTACAACCGTCAGCCCTGCAAGCAGTATGACCTTTGCCAACAGCGGAGCCAGGTACTTGCGGGGAGAGGGTAGGAGTGGACGTCCGTTGTGAAGTCAGAGCACCTGGCTTGAGGCCTGACTCCACCCCTCACTAGCTTTATGTCTTCAGGTCATTTCCTTAAGTCTCTGAGCCTCCATTTCCTCTTTATGAGATGGGACACATACAAGCCATGCCCACAGCCTGCTGTTGGGTTTGACTCAGAAACCACTATGGTATCTGCCAGGGCCTCGGACACACTGTTGAGTGCTTTGCAAACTATAAAGCAGAGGCACTTTGTGCTAAGGCTGTGCCAATAGCTCTCCTTTGGTGTCTGCTGTGACAGGTCTAGACCCCACCTTGCCCAGGCCAGAGTGGAGGAGGCACCTTGCCCAAGGCTACAGAGCAGGTGGAAACAGCAGGAACCCTGGACTTAACCTGGGCCCTGCTTTCAGCTGAGACACTTTCACAGGCAGCTGGCCTCCCACAGCTCCCTCCTCTCAGATAAGAGACAGTGACACCATGCATGATCATTCTAAATGTTTCATCCCTTGTGTGTGTTGCTTTTTTCTTTTGTTTTGAACCTTTTATTGTGGCTTGAGTGAAAGGTTACAGAGCAAATTAGTTTTCCATTCAACAGTTTATACACATTTTGCTTGGAGAAATCGATTGCAATCCCCACGATGAAACTGCACCCTTCCTACTTCCTCCCTGTGTTCCCTGTTTCTATTCACCTTCATCCTGCCCCTTCCTGCCTTCTGAGCTTTGTTTTTGGCAAATGCTGCCCATTGGTCTCATATGGTTGATTGTTCTAAGGAGTGCACACCTCCCTGGTGTTATTGTTCATTTTATAGGCCTGCCTATTTGGCTGAAAGTTGAACCATGGGGGTGAGTTCAGTTCCAGGCTTGAAAAGTGTGTATGGACCATAGTCTCAGCAGTTCTCTATTAGACTGGTAACTCTGGTCTTTTTTTTATGATGTTGAGTTTTCTTCTACATTTTTCTCCTCTTCTATCCAGGATCTTCTATCATGATCCCAATCAGATCAGTCAGTAGCAGTAACTGGGCACCACCTAGTTCCTCTAGTCTCAGGGTCCTGAAGGCTGAGGTTCACGTGGTCCATTGGTCCTTTGGACTAATTGTTTCCTTGCATCTTTTATTTTCTTTACTCTTCTTTGCTTCAGATGGGAAAAGACAAATAGTTGCATATTAGATGGCAGCTGGCAAGCTTTTAAGACCCCATTTGCTACGCACCAAAGTGGTGGTGTTGTTATTTGCCATCGAGTTGGCCCCGACTCATAGCGACCCCTCCTTGGGTTTCTGAGGCAGTATCGCTACGGAAGTAGATTGCCCAGCCTTCCCTCTGAGGAGTGGCTGGTGGGTTTGAACTCCAGCCTTCTGGTTAGTAGTCAAGGGCCTTAGGCACTATGCTACCAGAGCTCCTACACACCAAAGTAGGATGTAGAAAATTTTCGACTGTGTTATGCCAACTGGCCTGGATGTCCCCAGATGCTATAGTCCTAAGTTCCCAAGCCAAGTGATTAATTTCCCTCCAGGTGTTTGATTAAGGCTAAGAGGTTTCATAACCTTGCCCCCTGTATGTTCTACTATACACCTGGATATACTTGAAGCACATATAAATACATATGTAGAAATAGCCTCTGCCAAACCTGTATATACTCGTGTTTGTAGTCCTATTTGTCTTCCCATACCTCCGCTTGCATGTCTATCTGTGTATCTACTTGCAGATTATTGTTACTACTGTCCTTGCAGGATTGTGCATATAATAATATTTACCTTTGTTACCTTTCACTGTCTTTAAAAAAAAAAAAAAAAAACTTTTATTATGATTGGAGTGAAAGTTTACAGAGCAAATTGGTTTTCCATTCACCGATTGCCACAGATTTTGTTGTGTGACGTTGACTGCAGTCTCTTGTGCACCTCCCCGTGTCCCCCTTTTCCTTGGTCATGCTGTGCTGACCTCTTTGTTACTGCATGTTGCATTTCCCAGTTATTGATTTTCTCCCTCCTTTCCTTGGTACCCATCAAAGAATGTTGCTTTCTGTGTGTAAACCTTTTCTTGACTTTTTATAATAGTGGCCTCATACAGTATTTGTCCTTTGGTGATTGACTTCTTTCACTCAGCGTAATGATCTCCAGGCTCATCCATGATTTATGGATTTATTGTTATTCTTCAACATTGTGTAGGATTCCACTGGGTGTATGTACCATAGTTAGTCTATCCATTCATCCGTTGATGGACACTTGGGTTGTTTCCATCTTTTTTGCTATCATGAATAACGCTACAATGAACATGGTTGTGCATAAATCTGTTGGTGTCATGGCTTTTATTTCCCTAGAATATATACCTAGTATATATCCTATAGTGGGACTGCTAGATCATATGGTATTTCTATTTCAAGATTTTTAAGAAAATACTGTTTTCCACAGTGGTTGCACCATTTTACAGTCCCGCCAGCAATGTATGAGGGTTCCATTCTCTTCACACCCTTGCCAGCATTGGTTGTGTTCTGTTGTTTTGTTTTGTTTCATTTTAACTTTGCTATTAATGCTAGGGTAAGATGATATCTCATTGTTGTTTTGATTTACATCTCTCTAATGGCTTCATGTGTTTGTTGGCCACCTGAATGTCTTCTCTGGTCAAGTGCATGTTCATGTCCTCTGCCCATTTTTTAAATTGGATTGTTTGTCTTTTTGTTGTTGAGGTGTTGAAGTTTTTTTATAAATTTCAGAGATTAGGCCCTTGTGGGATATTATCATTGCCAATTTTTTTTTCTGGCACAGTGGTTAAAGAGGTGCTAACTGAAATGTCAACGTTTCAAAACCACCAGCCACTCTGCAGGAGAAAAATGTGGCAGCCTGCTTCTGTAAAGATTGACAGCCTTGGAAACCCTGTAGGACACTTCTACTCTGTCTTATAGGGTCATTATGAGTTGGAATTGACTTGATGGCATTCGGTTTGGTTGTTTTGGTTTAAGTTCTCTTCTTACTCTTTTGGAGAGTCTTTTGATGCACATAAGTGTTTAATTTTTAGGACTTTTCTGAATAGGAGTGGTGATAAAGGGCATCCTTGTCTGGTTCCTATTCGCAAGGGGAATGCTTTCAGTCTCTATCTGTTGAGAATAACGTTTGCTGTAAGTATTGTGTATATGCCCTTAATTATGTAGAGGAATTTCCCTTCTGTTCCTAATTTTTAGGAAGTTCCAGTCATCTAGTTTATCTTCTGCTGTTTGTACATTTTTAGTTATGTTTGATAGTCTATTTATACCATGAATTAGGGGCCTGAAGTTTGCCTCTATTTTTTCTTTGCTGATCTTTATAGTTTTAGGCTTTACATTTAGGTCTTTGATCCATCTTGAGTTTATTTTTGTGTATAGAGTGAGTTATGGGTCCTGTTTCATTTTTATGAAAATGGATATACAATTTTGCCAGCACCATTTGTTAAAGACACTGTCTCTTCCCAACTTAATGAGGTTTGGCCCTTTGATAAAGCTCAGCTGTCCATAGGTGGATGGATTTACTTTTGGTTCTCAATTCTGTTCCATTGATCTGTGCATCTGTCATTGTCCCATTACAGACTATTTTGACTACTGCAGGAAATGTGAGGCCTCCTACTTTGTTCTTCTTCTTTAGCAGTGCTTTGCTTATCTGAGGTCTCTTTCATTTCCATAGAAAGTTGGTGATTAGTTTTTCCATCTATTTAAAGAATGATGATGGAATCTGGGTCAGGATTACATTGTATCTGTAGATCATTTTGGGTAGTATTGACATTTTCACAATGTTAAACCTTCCTACCCATGACCATGTTATGTTGTTGTTGTTGTTATGTGCCGTCGAGTCGGACCTGACTCATAGCGACCCCCCTTGGGTTTCCGAGGCAGTATCACTACGGAAGTAGATTGCCCAACCTTCCTTCCGAGGAGTAGCTGGTGGGTTTGAACCGCCAGCCTTCTGGTTAGCAGTCAAGTGCCAGTGCCTTACGCACTACACTACCAGAGCTCCTCGACTGTGCTATATTCTTCCATTTATGTAGGTCTCTTTTGGTTTCTTGTAGTAGTATTTTGTAGTTTTGTTTGTATAAGTCTTTTGTATCTCTGGTTTGATTTGTTCCTACATATTTCATCTCTTGAGTGGCTATTGTAAATGGTATTGCTTTCCTGATTTCCTTTGTTAGTGTGAAGGAATCTAACTGATTTTTGCTAGTATTATACCCTGCCACTTTGCTGAATCCTATTAGTTCCAGTAGTTTTCTTGTTGCATCTCTGGGATTTTCTATGTATAGGATCATATCATCTGCAAAAATAAGATACTTTTACTTCTTCTGTATCAATCTGGATGTTTTTTATTTCCCTTTTTTGCCTTATTGCTCTGACTAGGACTTTCCTGAATAGAAGCATAAAATAAAATAAAGGGCATCCTTGTCTGGTTCCTATTCGCAAGGGGAATGTTTTCAGTCTCTATCTGTTGAGAAGAATGTTAGTTGTTAGTATTGTGTATATGCCCTTAATTAT